ACAGGCTATGTCTTTGAGATAGACGTCTTCATCATCACTATCCCAGATCCCATTCACTTCTTCATTGCTTGAGATAAATACAACTTCCGGCAGAGGTTCATTCATAGATTGAATGAGTATCGACGGATCAAAGGAGACTTCATCTCCCATGATAGCCAGAGCATCAAAAAGAGGAAATGTTTGAATGTTAGGCTTCTTGCCCCCTGGAGGGACAGGAAGTTGGTTAGCATCAATCAGGTCTTGGATTGCGTCTTTCAACATCCAACACTTCTCAGTGTTATGACCCTTGCCTTGGTGATACTTGCAATAAGCGTTGGGGTCATAGTTAGCGGTCCTATTCTCAGGTTGAGGTTCTGGAAATGGTCCGATTGGCATAATCAGTCCCTGACCATGAAGACGGTCATAAGCAGCATCATAAGTCATTCCCAAAGGCGTATAAACCCTCCTTTGCCTTTGGAATCTTTGAGGAGGAGCATTAAGGGCCAGCACATCATTGATGTTGATATTTTTGGTAGCATTATTGGGCTTAGAAGACGAAGAAGGAGTGTCTTTCTTCTTGTTTTTCCAAGTACTGTTGTTATTGTTGCTACCAACAGATTTCATCAGTTCGTCTTCGATATTGATTCCAATATCATATACAGCATCAAAGGTACTTAAGGGCAGAAACTTCAGGTGTTGCTTGTACTTATGAGTTAGGTTGGCAATGAACAAGCGAACAATTTCCTTCTCCTTGGGAGGATCCGCCAAGAGCGCAGCTGTTTCTCTCCACCTGCTTAGGTAAGTGGTGAAGCCTTCATTCTCTTTCTGTTTGAGAATGGAGAGTTCACGTTCAGAAGTCTTGGCTTGGATGTTACACTTGTACCGATTCATAAAGCTTTCAGTAACATCCTCCCAGGTCGCGACATGCTTGGATTCACCGTAGGGAAGAGTGTCACATCTACTCCCTTAAGAGCCATAGTTGCAGAAAAAGCCTTCAAATGGAAAAGCGGGTTATCAGTAGGCTTGAACTTGGGAATATCAGCAGTGGAAAACTTCTCAAGAAGCTTCTCCCTTATGGACGAGGAGGTGATAGGTTGTTCCAAAATAAGTGAACTCTTCGGAAATCTTGCTCATCTGTTCCTTGATCTTATCCATCGCAGCAGTAGTGACACTGTTTTTCTTTACTTGCTCTATAGTGCTGACTCTAGTAGTGAGTATATGCATCATGTCAGACAATCTTTCGATTGTCCTGTTGAGGTTCTCGATGTCTTCCTTAGTGGCCATTGGTTGAAAGTAGACTGGAGACGGATCTTGTGGAGATGACTGAGGTGGTTTCCTTGTACGCCTCTTTGGTATAAGAGGTTGTTCAGGTATGGACTCGAACCGTAACAATCTACCCTTGATTCTTGCCCAAGTGCTGTGACACCGAAACAAACACACCTTTAATGACCAAACTTGACCTTAACCTATCCGGATTAAAAAAAAAAATTTATATTATTGAAGCTCTACTTATTAAAAAAGAATACATGGGAGGATACCATCCGACTTACTCCGAAAAAAAAACGAAACTTCCCTAAAATACGGTCAAAAGTGGTGCATGATTAAAAAAAAAGTGTGTGGACATAATATGTGAGTGATTAGGTGAGGTTATAGACGCGTGTTTTGACTGGATAGCTAGACACGACTCAATACTGGACACAAAAATCGAGAAAAAAGACTGACAGGACACTGTCCTGGGCACCGTGTCACGGTGCATACTGGCGTGACACTGTACAGTCTACCGTCAGACGGTAGACTTTCCCGTGTCACGGCACTGTTCACCGTGACACGGTGCGCAGTTCCAGGTCAGTTTTGTGATTTTTCAGATTTTAATCGATTTTAAGTTCGTACTAATTACTATGTGAGAATAAAAACCCTCGGTCATGGGTTAAACAAAAAGAGCAAACACATGAGGGTTAGAACCAAACAAACACATAGCATTTAGGCACGATGATGTAAAAAATTTCGCAACCTAAAGTCAAGATCTATGTTCAACTATTGGTCAAGCTTTGGGTGTCAAAAGGGTCCATGGTTAAGAGTTTGGACGCGTTAGCAAGGCAGCCTCCCTTGAGGGTGTATGCCAACGGGCGGCTCCACGAGTTCGTGATGAAATTGAACTCGACTCCATGGTTTGGGTGGATTTAATGACTCGGATGAACCCTTATTGCCATGAGCGTTTTTAGGTTGATAGAGCTTAAATCCCCCGGGGCTAAGACGAATGTAGAACACATACGTTTTTTCAGAAAAATCGAAGGAAGTCGACTGTGAGAAAAGAAAATAGGCCACCGGACAGATTTTAGGACTGCCGTGACACGGCAGAAATTCCCGTGTCACGGTACAGTGTACTGTCAGACGTTTCACTGTACCGTGACACGGCAGTCAGAAAATCTGACTGGTGCCCTGTTTGCTTTTGCGCGCAATCGAGTTATCCAAATTTTCCGACGGGACAGACCTGAATGCGACGCTAAAACGTCTATGCAGATGCAAAAAATGCCAAATTAATCACAGGAATATTTTTTCAAGAATCTTTCAAGTCTCATCCCTCATCTTAATTAAATACCGATCACTCAAATCAATAAATAATTAAGAATCCTCCCCAGTGGAGTCGCCAAATTGTAGGCGTCGTTCGAAGTGAGCCTACGTTAAAGCATGTTGTGAATATGCTTGGCAATCATAGGAAGTGGGAATTGACATTACGATTAGGGACAAAGCAAAGTAGGGAGCCGCCAACAAGTTTTTAAGGAACTTGTAAACCGTTCACGGATCATAAAAAAGGCAACCACGAATAAGGGAAAACGAAGGCAACAACGATTGACCCGTGAAGGTTACACCCCATTCATAATCCATGAGATTATTAACTCCATATGGTTCGGAACCACGAAAGGAGGATCGGGGATGATGGTACGAAGTGAGTCATGGAGTCACATTCGCCCGTATTGGCCTCTACTCGATTCTTATATTGAAAAGCATTCCTGTGATCTCAAAGGCATACAAACAATAATTCAATTCGCTCCAAACTATTATTTAACTAAATTGGTTTAAAATTAATGCACACATAATTCTAAAATATGGTGATCACTTGAATTAACAACAAGATTAAAAAGGAACTTAAACCGGTTGTCCAAATTATCTTATTAGTCGTGATTTTCAATTACATATTCCCTTTAAACATGCAATATGGTGATCATAATAAAAACAATAATAGAATCAACATTAATACCAATTTAACCACAATCCCAACAACATAAAATTGTTAGAAAAATAATAATAACAATAAAAGAGCATGATCCTTACTTTGAATCTGTTTGCTTGCAAATACAAAATAATAAACGAGTTAGTAACTTCAAGGAAATAATAAAACAATAACTAAATCAAATTAAATAAAATAAGGTTGATTTTGGGACCAAACCCTCAAACGATTCTACCTTTCACGCCTTGGCTTAAGGACAGAACCTCGAGTAAAATATGGACTCCTTTGAGTGCTTGAAGAAGGAATTTTGAAGTGAAAAGGGTAGGCTAGTGTTTAGGTTAATAGCATAGAAGAGAGAAAATAAGAATCATAAAATTCTGGTTGCCCCGTACATCAGAAATGAGGGGGTATTTATAGGGAAATGTGCTGAGGGAGCACACGGAACCCTAAAATAATAAAAACCCTAAAAAAGTATCCCGTGACACGGTCAGACTGTACCGTGACACGGTTAGACAGTACCGTCAGACGGTACACTTTCCCGTGACACGGTCAGTTTTTGAGTGACTCGGGAAATTTTCTGAAAACAGAATGAAAAACGCGTTAAGGGTTTACGCGGAAAGGACACGGAAATTCCCGTGTCATGGCAGACCTCCCGTGTCACGGGAAGTCCCACCGTCAGACGGGAGGGTTCCCGTGACACGCTCAGGCTGTACTGTGACACGGTCAGTTCTAGTCCATTTTTTCGTCTAAATTCATTTTTAACCCTAATTTCTTTCGGCTTTTTAAGTGCCGGTTGATAATTTCGGGCTTTTTTCTGACTTTTATTATTCGGGCTAAAATAATAATATAAAATACAATGTTTGGGCTAAAAATAAATAAAATAATAAAATAAAAGGGTTTGGGTTTAAAATTAATTAACAAGCTTGGGCTAAAATTAAAACTATGCTTTTACCAAACACCAAAACTGATCCATAGACCTTTCAAAAATAAGAATTTAATAAAATACGATTTTTTAAGCACTCTCGGGATGAAATACTAAACCCGACTAATAGTGGCGGTGAAAGGTTATTTATCATTGGGTTTGGTTTTGGGGAGACATTTTTAGGTGTCTACAACTGAGGTTATAATTTTTTCTGTTAAATTACAGATTAATTATTGTTGTTCATACATAACTCTTCTCTATTTAAAGCCTGTTCTAAATCAAATTTTTTCTATTAAAAGAGTTATATTAATATATACATTGTTTCTGTAAAAGGTGCAGTTTTGTAACAATAAGTTATATTTTTCTTCATCTAATCAAGAGTTCTAAGATAATGGCTGATTTCTACACAAATAAAGAAAAATGCACTATTACTTTCAAAACAATTCATCGCCTTAGTATGGTAAATATATTTTACATTAAGTTTTAAATTTATAAATTTGTTTTGTGTTTTAGTAAAAACTTAATAATTTCATTTTATTTTTTTTTAATTTCAGCCACTTCCTGCAGAATGGAATATCTTCTAAAATTCAGGCATCATGTAAGAGTCTATGCTGGGAATAATGGCAGAGAAGATAGATTTTGGGAAGTAAGAGTCATAAGCATACCACAAGATACAGGGTATGGTGGTATGTTGGTTGATCGTGAATGGGAAAACTTCGTAGCTACTAACAACATAGTTCCTGGAGACAAACTTGATATTTACCATGATCATGATACCATTTACATTAGAATTTTTAATGCTGATGGTACTGAAAAGCTTCCTAATGAAGCAGAAAATGGTAGCAATGTTTAAGTTTTTTAATATTAAGATTATGTTTGTAATAAATCTGATTTTATATCAGAAATAATAATATCTGTATCAGATATTAAACTATGATTTTCAGTAATAATAATATTTTTATCTGATTATAATATGTTGTTCATTGTAAATTATCTTCAGGAATTAGATTACTTTTGTCATTTATTAGATTTATTTAGTCATGAATTAAATTCTGTATGTCAGGTATTAAAATATTTTAATCAGGAATTAATTTGAATATTTCAGGAATTTGATTGTATATTTCAGGAAAAAAATTGTTTGAATAAGAAATTAGATTGAATATATCGGGAATAATATTATCTTTTTCATGTATTAAATTTTTTTGACCAGGTATTACTTTATTTAGACCAGGAATAAGATTATCTAGGACATGTATTATACTATTTAAGTCAGCTGTTGCATTTCTATGTCAGGTAATTATTTATGTTAGTAATTAAAATATTTAGCTCAGGAATAAAGATATTTTTATTTTATGCTAAATAGGCAAGTAATAAATTTTAAAATAACAAAGTATGTACGTACCTGATTCATTCTCATCCCATATCCTTGATTTAGCAAGCTTGGTCCAACGTTTCAGAATGTATCTCTCTGGTATAGAATGTATGTTGTACATTTTCATTATCTTGATAATGTGAAAGCACAGCAATCCAGTCTCTGTGAAACACATACAAGAACACATAAATTCATTGTTTTGACAGTGATATATGACTTGATAGGTGTGCATATAATCTTCATCAAGAAAAACATCAAATAATTTGATGTATTGCATTGAAGTTGGCTTTTCCTTTGCATATGCTCCTAGGCTGGTCTCAAATTCCAACTTAAAATCCTTGTATAAGTTCAGAGTATAAACTTCAGCAACATGTTTTAAGATTTTTGTTTTTATTTTTGGTTTCTCAGTAGTACATCTGAAGTTGTCACTCTTTTCAGTGCTTCTCACAGTAGCTTCAAATATATGGAAGAACTCCAAAAGTTTAGTGGTTCTGTTAGCCTTAAATGAAATTGCTCTGTTTATTACTTCTACTCTTTGAGATGAAAGGATTCCCGCAGAGAAAATATCCTTGCTCAAAGCAGTGCACCATTTTTCTCGTAGCCCGAACAACCTATCAAACCACTCTTTTTTTTCTAATCCATATTTTTTAACCATCTTGTTCCAGACATCTTCGAATTCTGATTCTAAATCACACCCACTTAAGCACTTGTGAAACATATTCTTGAATTCAGGGTTGTTTTTTAAAGTTCCAAAATGTGATACAAAATTCTTTTGCAAATGCCATAGACATAGCCTATGTCTTGAATTTGGATAAACCTGCAACAATCAAATAATTTCATTTTATAGTCAGATATTAGATAAATAATGGAAGAAATTAATAAAATTTTGTCAGGAATTAAAGAGTCAATGTTAGATATTATATAACTCAAGTCAGTTATTAATCTATTTTTGTCAGGCATAACAATTTACTGTTCAGGAATTAAAGTGTTTTAATCACATATTAAACAAATAATGTCAATTATGTATTTATTTTCTTCAACAATTATAGAACAATTTGTTATATTTTTATCAGTGTTTAGATTATATTTATCAGGAATTACATGATATTCATTAGGAATTAGCAAAGTTATAGTCATTATCTAGACAACATAAATCAAATAATTTCATTATATAGTCAGTTATTAGATATATAATGGCAGTAATTAATAAATTTTTTTTAGGTATTAAAGAGTCAAAGTTAGATATTATATAACTCTCGTCAGTTATTAACCTATTTTTGTCAGGCATAACAATTTATTAGTCAGGAATTAAAGTGGTTTAGTCAGATATTAGATAAAATAAATCAAGTATTGTAGTCGTTTCTTTAGGGAAAACATTTTTTAATACAGAAATTAGTACATTTTGTTCATAAATTAGATAACTTATAAACAAATAATGTCAATTATATATTTATTTTCTTCAACAATTATAGAACAATTTGATTTATTTTAATCAGTTTTTAGAAAATATTTATCAGGAATTACATTATATTCATTAGGAATTAGCAAAGTTATAGTCATTACTTAGACAACATAAATCAAATAATTTCATTATATAGTCAGATATTAGATATATAATGGCAGTAATAAATAAATTTTTGTCAGGCATAACAATTTATTAGTCAGGAAATACAATTCTTTAATCAGATATTAGATAAACTAAATCAAGTATTGTAGAATTTTCTTCAGTGAAAACATTTTTAATACAGAAATTAGCACATTTTATTCATATATTAGACAACTTATATCAAGCAAAAATTTACTAGTGTTTGATTTTACTTAGAGTTGCTTTCAGTACTTTGTGATTTGGATAAAGATATTTAAAATAAAGATATTTAACATGAAGATATTTAACATGAAGATATTTACCAACACTTTTGGATAAAGATGACAAAAATGTAAGAATAAGAATTATTCGTACAAAATTATTCTAAAAGTAAAATATTTTTTTAATCTCTTATATTTGTCTATAAAACCAAGAATTGGTCATACATTTTGCATGTTTGTGTTCCTGTATATTCTCTCTCCTAAAACATACTCTTTTTCTTTTTCCTCAAATATGGAAAACAATTCTCAGTCTTCTACTTCATCAAACGATCCAGAAGAAAATGTTTTTGATAACTTTGAAAAGAGATTAAATGATCTACTTGAGAGAAGAGACAGAGTGAAGAATGGGTTGATGACGCTGTATGAAAAGGTTGAGAAGAACAAAATCGAAGAACTGGGTAAGAGAAAGAGGGTTGAAGAAAAATTCCAGGAAGAACAAAACAAAAAAAAGAAAGAAAGAAGACGATCAACAAAAGAAGAAACAAGAAGAAGAAAAAGAAGATCAAATGAAAAAACAAATTTAAAATCTCAAGAAGATGATTAAGAATCTAGGGTTTATTTATTTATTTATTTATTTTTGATATATTATATTTTTCGAAATAGTATATGAAATCAAGTATATTTCAGTAATGTACTTTGATTTTATTTTGGTTTCTCATGTATTGTCTTTATTTTTTTTCATTAAAATACTTGTTGGACAAAAATTAGTATATTTAAATTTTCATCTAATAGGTTATTTTTTTTGTCAATAATTATAATATTATTACATGGGCACATAAAAAGCCAGGAAATGATGTATTGATTGATTTAAAATTAAATTACTTTGGAAAATGCACAGTAAAAACTGATATAATAAAGTATTTTAAAGTCATACTCCCAAAAAAACATCATATTCCCAAAAAAATCTATATACCCTTTCATATTTCTCTTCTGTTTGTAAAAAAAACCATTTATTTCTAGTTTTTCAACAAATGATGTTTAGCAATTTTGTTCAATTTTATTCAGATATTAGATTAATAATGTCAATTATAATAATATAGGTATTTACTTGCTAGTAAAATTTTTATATATTTAGTCACATAATAGATTTAAATTTTCATATAATGATTTAAATTTACCAGAAAATAGAAATATAAACAGTAATTATATTAAAAAAATTTATGTTAGCACTAAGTATTATTACGTGGGCAGATAAAAAGTCAAGAAATGATGAATTGATTGATTTAGAATTTAATTACTTGGGAAAACGCGCAATGAAAACTAATATAAATAAAGTATTTCAAACATCATTCTCTCAAAAAAATCTATACACCCTTTCATATATCTCTTCTGTGTGTTAAAAAAAATCATCCATTTCCAGTTTTTAAACAAAGATTATTTATCAGTTTTGTTCAATTTTTATTCGAATTCAAGTATATTGTAAGATTTGTAACGTAGTATTTCAAATGGATCCAATAGACGATCCTCATTACATGGCTGCTCTAGAGGATGCTCCACGTGCATTATCTGTTCTTGAAATCTTATGCATGTATATTTTTCCTAAATGCACCCCTCGAGCGCAAGCGATGTGTAATTGTGTTTGTAGGCATTGGAATGAATTATGGTACTTAAATACTTGGATTCCTCATGTAGTTAGATATAGGCAGGCTAGTGAAAGGTGGTGGCTTGCAACTGATATTATGAGGCATAATGGATATGGCTTTCATAATTCAATGGTTCAAGATTGGGCTGAATTTCTGGATGGGTTGCGATGGCTATTTAGGGATGAGGAAGATATGTGGAGTAAGAAAAGAAAGAGAGAGGAAGCTATTCAACCTGGAGGGCCACAGAAGAAGATTAGGCTAGCTTAAATGCCCTGTAAATATGTTTTTCTTTAATTAAAAAGCAATGTTTTGTATAGTATTGTTATGATCATATATAGTTAAAGTGACAATGTTCATTTGCTTTTGTAAGGCATTGTCATAAGTATGACAAAATATTATGAAGAAATATATACTAATTTGGACTTATGCTTTTGTTTTTGTTAATTTTCTTTTATGTACATAATGTTTGTGAATGAAAAAATACTTCTGAATAATTGCACTATATTACCTCAATAAGGAATATAATTCTTTCGTTCAGAAATTAGGTTAATTTCATCAGGAACAGTTTTATTTTAGTCTGGAATTATAATAATTTATGCAGGTATTAACATGCTTTTTTAATCATAAATAATATTTTTTCTTTCAGGATTATTTTTATTTTACTCAGTTATTATATTATTTATGGCAGGAATCAAATTATATTTCTTAGAAATTATTTTTGTTGTATTTGTGAAAGGAATTTTAAAATTTAAATCAGTTTTCATATTTTATAGTCAGATATTAGATAATTTTTGACAGATAATTCTATAATTTAATTAGTATTTCAATATATTCAGATTTTAATCAGTGTTTTAAAATTAATGTTTTTAACTCAGAAATAAGCTTAAATTAGACAGGAATTAGGTTTTATTAGTCAGTTGTTACATTTTTGAATTGGTTGATTTATGTTAGGCATAATAATATTTTACTCAAGAATAATAATTTTTTAGTCAGGAATAAAAGAGTAACAGTCAGATATTATATATTTAACATTAGTTATTCTTCTATTTTTGTCATGCATAATAATATACTAGTCAGCATTTAAAGTATTATAGTCAGATAATAGATTAATAGTTTCATATAATAGGAATTAACGTGATTTAAGTTATTCCATTGTATTAAAAATCAGAAATAATATTATTTCTTTCACGATTATTATATTTTTACTCAGGTATTATATTATTTAGGGCAGGAAATAAATTATATCTCTCAAAAAATTATTTTTGTTGTGTTTTTCTAAAGAATGATAAAATTTTATTCAGCTATTATTATATTAAAGTCAGATATAAAATGATTCTAGACAGATATTTCTATATTTAAGACAGGAATTAAATATTTTCAGAATTTAATTAGTGTTATTTGATTTGTCAGTTATTAATCTCTTTTTGTCAGGAATAATAATATTTTAGTCAGTTTTTAGATTATTTTGATTAGAAATTACATGAAATTCATAAGGAATAACATGATATTCAAATACTTTCTTCTTATAGTCAGATATTAGATAAGTAATTGCAGTAATTAATATATTTTTGTCAGATATTATAGAGTCAAAGTCAGATATTTTATATATCATGTCAGTTATTAATCAATTTTTGTCAGGCATAACAATTTGTTAGTCAGGAATTAAAGTGTTTTAATTACATATTACATATATAATGTCAATTATAAAATTTATTTTCTTCATCAGTTTTAATATTATTTTCATCAGATATTACATGATATTTATTAGGTATTAGTAAAGTTATAGTTATTACTTAGACATAAATCAAATAATTTCATTTTACAGTCAGATATTATATAAATCATGGCAATAATTGACTTATTTATGTCAGGTATTAAAGAGTTAAAGTCAGATTATTTTATTTGATACAAAACATATCCTAATATAAAATACAAATACAAATATTAAGCTGAAACTGCTTACCTCTGGTATGGCGTTGCTCATTGCAAGATCTTGATCAATGAAGATTGATTTTGGTTCAATTCCACACATTGACTTTTTGAAGATTGAAATCAGCCAAACAAATGTATCAATCTTTTCATCGGTTATGTATGCACTTCCAAACATTGTTGTTTTCCAGTGATTGTTTATACCAACAAATGGAGCACATATCAACCCATATTTGTTTGTTCTGTATGTTGTATCGAAGATTAAAACATCACCATAAGCTTTGAAATCTTCAAGCATTTGGGAGTCACGCCAAAAATAGCTCACAGCATTATTTTCTTCTCCAAATTTAATCTATAAAAGAATGAGGGATCTTGATCTGCTCTTTCTTGAAGGGTGTCTAATACATTTTGCATGTCTCCACCTTCAACCATACTCATTTTCACCCTTGATACATAATTAAGGTGATCTCTCTTAGTATGACCTACACATTCTTCTCCTCCAGCTTCATTGCTTATATAATTATAAGAATCCATTGGTTTGATACCACTCTCAATCATGCTCTCAATTAGTTCACCCATTGGAGCTGATATTTGCCTTTCTGATCTTAGATGATGTCGTTGAACTGCTATAACCAATTCATGATTATGCTCCAACTCATGTGTAACAACTTCGAAATTTCCTTCTTTGTTTTTCTTGAAACGAATATGGGCTTTACATCCAGTTCTTGTCTCATTTACCTCCCTATCTTTTCTCTTTTTTGCATCAGTTTTACCCAATATGGGTATTTCCACGGTATTTTGTTCACCTGCTATCTTCATTTTACCCTTTGTATGTCCTTCCTTAGAACATCTAAAATAAAACTCATACATTTTATCATTGGAATCTCTTCTCTTTGTTGATTTTCTGACACTGAAACCAATAGATCTTGAATGAGCTTTGTATAACACATATCCCTCATTGTAGTTTGATATTGTATAACTTGCTAGACATTTACTTATGTTTTCATCCTTGTCATATTTGTAATAATTTGCAACAAAAGTATACATATGAACATATCTTAATTTATTTTTGTCAGTAATTACAATATTATAGACAGTAAATAAATATTTTTAAATTTATAATACTTATGAATTACCATGTCTTAGTCAGGAAATAGATTATTTAAATCAGGAATTACTAAATACTAGTTAGGAAATAAATCATCTCAGTCTTGTTTAGGATTATATTAATCAGGAAACAGGTAATATTGGTCAGTAATAAAGTTATATCATTCAGAAATAATAATATTTATATCTGATTATATGTTGTTCAATGTTCACTATCTTCAGGAATTAGATTATTTTTGTCATTTATTAGATTTGTTTTGTCAGGAATTAAATTATGTATGTCAGGTATTAAAATGTTTTGATTAGGAATTAATTTGAGTATATCAGAAATTATATTGTATATTTTAGTAATAAAATTGTTTCAATCAGAAATTAAATTGAACAATTTTATTAATTTAATTTTAGTGACAAAAAATAGTCAAAATATTACTCAAAAAATAGTCAAAAAATTGTTTGAATTAGAAATTAGATTATAATAGTCAAGAATAAAATTGTCTCAGTCAGGAAAATAGATAATAAACTACTCAGGACATAAATGATATAGTCAGGTTTAAGAAATTATATTCAGAAAAAAAAAAAAAAATTATTGCATACAAGAATTAGAATTTGAAAAGTCATGACCTTCCCTCTTCCAAAACATCAACACTCAAAACACTCAAAAAACACGTAAAATCATTTACCAGACATAAAATTAATTGAATAAAATTAAATGTATTTACTAGAACCGAGGTTAATTATAAATGAAAAACACATATTTGAAAAGGCATGACCTTCCCTCTTCCAAAACACTGCACCAATTCACGTTCTAAACACTATATATAAGAAACCACAGTGTACAAGAAACTATATTAAGAAAAAAAAAATTCATATAAAAATATAAATTGCTTCAGTTTGAATTTTAATTATTTTGATAAGAATATCAAATAACTACTGCTACTACAAAAGGTATATTTTTTTCATATTATGATTTTACATTTGTTAGTTCATTTTATTTTGTTTTATTATGATTTATGTGTTTATTTTTTTTTAGATGGCTAATTATATTGCACACCCAATTGATGCCTTAGAAGATGCACATCCAGCATTAGCTATTGAAGAGACATTATGCATGCATATTTTCCCTAGGTGCACCTTCCAAGCGCAGGCGATGATTAATTGTACATGTAAATATTATAATGAATTATGGTATTACAAATTTTGGATTCCAAAAATAGTAAGAAGAAATCATAATTCAAATGAATGGTGGGTTGCATATGACATTATGAGGCATAATGATTATGGTTTTCACAATGGGATGGTGCAAGACTGGGCTGAATTTCTTGATGGATTACGTTTAATTTTTGCGGAAGAAGAAGCCAACAAGAGAAAGAGAAAAAGAGAAGAGGCAATCCAACCAGGTAGAGGGGGAAAAAAGAATAAAAATAGAGGATGTTATTAGTAGTTTATGTTCAATGTTTTGCACTTTATTATATTTGAATTAATAAACATAACATTTCAGTAATATGTAATTTGTTTTTAAATTTAAATGATTTTATTTTATTTTTTATTTTGTATGACGTTATTAAATTATTAAATGTTTTTTGAAGTTTATAATACTCAGGAATTAACATATCTTAGTCAGGAATTAGATATTTTAGATAAGGTATTACAATATATTAGTCAGGAATAAAATTAACTCATTCATGTTTAAGATAATATTAGTCAGGAAACAGATAATAATAGTCAGAAATTTTATTATCAATATTATATACAGTAATTAAATGTTTTTAAATTTATAATACTCAGGAATTAGCAAATGTTACTCAGGAATTAGATAATGTTGGTCATAAAACAGATAATGATAGTTAGTTTTAAGATAATAATATTCAGATATATCATAGCATACAGAAATTTTATTTTTTTATCAAATCAGAAATTTTTTTCTGGTCAGAAATTACAATATATTAGTCAGGAAATATATTATCTTAGTCAGGAAGTAGATAATGATAATTAGAAATTATAGGAGTTGGAAAGAAAAGAAATAATATTAAACAGGAAATAGAAAATGATAATCAGTTTTAAGTTAATAATAGTCAGTTTTAAAATAATTATAGTCAGGTTTACATTATTTTCACTAATTTCCATATAATTTTTTTTTAGGAAATAGGTTTCCATAGGAATAAAATTAATTCAGTCAGGTTTCATATAATATTAGTCAGTAATTATATTGTCTGCATCAATAAATTACAAAGCATTTAAGAATTTTACAGAACATTTAACTATCAGTATTGTTTCGGGGTTTTCTGATGTCCTGCAGGAGAGTTACAATTCCGAGACTGGAACCGGACGCCTGTACCTGCAAAACAAACGGATGTTCCGGATGATTGGAGATCCGCCTCCGACGGTCAAGTTAGTACTTGATTAAGGAGTAATTTATGCGGAAATTAAAGTGATTGGGTCTCTCTAGGTGAGAGTGTTTAATGTGAGTAATCTGCGTTTTTTAGTGTTATCTCCCTTAATGAGGATTAAGGGAGGTATTTATAACCTCGGGAAACGTGTCAATCTAGGTTTAGGTTAACCTTGGGCTGATTGGGCTTCCCTCGGAAGTTGGGCCTAGGTGACCGGTTATCCCAGGTGTCATGGAAGGACACGTGTCGTGTCGTAATTGGTCCATAGTGGACGGATCATTGCTTGACACGTGGCAGGCTCCTATTGGCCCATGTGACGGACACATGGCGGAACCTGATTGGTCCACTTGTCAGATGGTGATTGGTAGGGAAAAATCCCCTAATCATTTGCCCCTCACAGGTGGCACGTGACTGGTCACGTGTTACCTGTGACAGGTATCGCCCTGTAACAGGCGACGGCCTGCTACAGGTGTCACTCGGCGAGAGGCCGAGAGATTCTCCCGCCAAAATTTTGAATTCTGGAAGTGACCCTTCGCCTTCTCACTTCGCCTATATAAAGGAGTGTTGACTTCGGTCATTTTCACACTTGAAAACTTTGTGAGAGAACATTCGGACCCCTGAACTTGCTCTGACATTTTGGACCCTTTCTGCCTACCGCCTGCTCTGACAAGCCGACTACAAAGGATTTTCAGAACTTCATCAATCGTCACTCGTTCAGGTAACCGTCGGTTCTCTTACTCTTAATTTTCTCTTTACTTTATTCTTTTTTGAAATGGCACCACGGAAGCACACGACACGACCTAGGTTAGTGATCAGCCGGTCACCGGGGACGGCTGAATCTAGGACTAGGAGTGCCGTCTGCCCTTTTCTGGACCCATCTTTGCCCTTTATACAAAGTCCGACTGTATCTGTGTCTATGCAGAGCATGATGGCCAGAACAAAAAAGACTGCCAGGATCTCAAACTCAGACGGCTCCTCCCACAGGGTGCCGATTAGTGAAACATCTGACCAGGCGCCAGATGTGGAAGTGAAACAAAGCGGCTTGAAAGCCGGCAGTTCTGAGGGAGGAGTCAAAGTGACCCCTTCCCATTTTACAGTTAACAATTCTACATTCTCTCCTGCTCCTTTTAAAGGAGAGGAGGCGGGCCCCTCCGGGAGAGGGGAAGAGTCGTCCTCTTCGGACTCGTCAGAGGACGATTCCGAGTCTAGCTCTTCTGGCCATGCTTCCCTGGACACAGAAGAGAAAAACAGTCGCCTACAAGAGGCGAGGCTTTCTCACGCAGTTGAGAAGGGGGACGATTGGGCGGAGCCATCCGCCTCTCACCGAGAGAAAAATACCCCCTACTACTGCACGGTACCTCGAGGCCGGATCACGGCCATGCAAGAGAAAGTGGAGAGCTTTATCGCAAACCACACAATGGGCCCCGACTTTTTAGTGTTCGTGCCGGATCAAGAAGACACAGTCGTATGGCCGGCTGGTACCAGTTATGATGGCGCCTGCTTTGGCTGCTACGAAGCGGCCATCAAGGCTGGGCTGCGCTTCCCACTACATCCAGTTGTTCAGCGGATCTTGGATGGGTATGAGTTGGGGTTATGGCAGTTAGCCCCGAACTCCTGGGTCAACGTACTCGGCTATGTGGCCGGGTGCGAACTGCACGGGGTGGAGCCGAGCTTCGAGGCTTTCGCCCACATGAACTACCTCAGCCGGACCCCTAAGGCAGGCGGTACCGGCTGGTATCAATTGACGAGCCACAGGGGCTACCTCATGACGAGAGGTAAAGCAAACAAATGGAAGGACTGGCGGAGCACCTTCCTCATCATTGAGAGTTCAGACACCGAGCTGAACAAGCGCTTCAACAGGTGGAACAGGAATTTGCCCCTTCTTGCAGGCGGCCGCAGCATGCCGCCTGTTCCCCCCAAGGCTAAGAAAGAGATCCTAGATAAAGGACTCTTCAAAGTAGAGTCGAAGGTGAACTCTACTTCAGGGGTACGAGAGCAAGTACCCCTGCACTTCGTCCCGAGCTTCAAATGGCTCTACGACGAGTACTTTTTGGCCGCCTGTGACCTCAGCAGTCGGTGCTCAAGAGGTAGCCGGCATGTCGAATACTCTGCTGTTCCGTGCATTTCTTGTTATGACTTTTATTAACTTTGCTATTTGTTTTTGCAGCGGACGCCATGAGAAAAATTACCGCCTCCAAGACTGCGGCGGCCATGTTGCGGGCCTCCATCATGCAACAGTCTTCAACCGACTCCCTCAATAAGGGGGCACCCTTGGTGGGCTTCGAACCTTTCACCCTCTTTTTGGAGTTGTGTTTATGCATATAC